CTGCCCCCCCCCCCCCCCCCAAGTCTCTGTACTGTTAATGTTTCCATGAATTTGCCATTAGTTGTCAATTAAAGCTAGCTTTAAAGTAGGGCTAGATATAGTTATGAGAATGAAGAATGCATATTGTCTGTGGTTTTGTCGCAATTGGCAGCTTATTAATGTGAAATCAAACTTTTGGTTGTGCTCCCAACTTCTGCAATCACATTTCTTTTTTTTTTCCTTTTTTTTTTGTCCATTCAGTACGTTTTTACTTTTTTAATGCTTTTATATATTTTAAATTTAGTGTTAGATAAAAACAAAAAGTAGTGATTTGTTGATTTTATCTTATTATTTACTAGGATAAAGTCTCTTTATAATAAAATGGTTATTCAATTCTCCTCTAACTTCCTGTTAGCTGAAGGTGTACATTGAGAACAATTTATTTAACAATATTGATAACAATGTAATTATACGATATTTCATAATATGAAAACGTGTAGAAAACAATTGTAGTAATGTATGACTTATTTTCATTATTGTTAAATTGTTTGAAAAAAATTGCATATTATTTTTTTGATCCTACAATAAAAAATGTTTGGTTCTACCACTATTCAGAGGCAGCAACTTTCTTGTAGGTCATGACTTCCCTACCACTATTGAATAAATGCTAGGTAACAATTGATGCTAGAAAGAATGTTAAAAGGGTGGTCTATGATTGGGTTAGAAATGATCGAATAGAGCAACTAGTCAAAGATGCGATACAAAAGCTGAAGTTGCCGTTAAATAGAAGTTACCTTGGTCAAAGCTTAAACTCTTCTTTGTTGATTTTTCTTTTCCAACGATAAATAAAGAATATCTTTCGATGGTACTCCGAAAGAAAAATGTTTCAATACCTACCAAGGCATACGATATACTTCATCATCTTTGGTCAAGTCTAGATCCCTGCCTATACACGTCCTTTTCGATGAATTATCAATACAGGAAGAAACTTTATTTTGAGTTGAAAATTGAAATATTTATCAATGAAGTAATCTTTAAAAAAAAGCTTTAAATGGTGACTTCTTATTTTCTTTGACTAGTTTGTGCTTCCTAAGAAATTCCCTAGCATATTAAGTCGTTGTATGATTTCGATAAAAAGTAGATAAAATTAATCAAATATGTAATTGAAAAGTCGAAAAAAGTTACGAATTTAATACAAATGCATAATTGAAAATAAGTTTACTAAAAAAAAAAAATTGAATTTTAAGAAATAGTCCCAGTTTTAGTCACATTTTTACCTCATTAAAATGAAAAATATGACCGTTATCCATCACATCAAGCCACCATTTTTGAATTTCTATCTCTGATGTAGGGCCCATAACAACTATATTTTTCATTCTCATTCTCATTATAATGTGGCTCAAACAGGCTCATAGATGTCAAACAATAATTAATATAACCATAATTTTACGTCATTTAAGACGTGACGTGTCTTTATAAGTTCTTAAATAACTTTATTCTTTCTTTTCTATTCTGGTCCGTGCTCTATAATTCATTAATTAACAAAATGAATGGTGGATCATAAGGTTGAGTAAACCAAGATCATTTGATAATGGATGAGTATTAACAAAATTAATGGCGGATCAGAAGGTTGAGTAAACCAAGATCATTTGATAATGGATGAGTGAGGGACGTAGAACATCGTCCTTCGTAACTACATTTTTAATTTGACTATAATTCAATGCATCTTTTCCTATTAATTAATTGTACAATTTCTTTATTCCTTGTGTATTATAAAAGCATTTTACATTTCTTAACATTACTCTTCTTTGAATCAATAAGATAAATCTTTTTTACTTTTGACTTTGCTTGCACGCTTCTTTCCATCACTGGATGCCTACTGAATTTAGATAAAGAAGAATCCATTAAGAGAAGTCGGCGCACAAGTTGATATAATAATATTTCATCTTTACAATAAAGATAAGCTTGTTTTCCTTTTTATTTATCTTAAATTATAGAGGGAAATACATGAAATTGACTCAAATAAGAGAGGTCATTTTCCCAAATAAGAGAGGCCATTTAGGAAAATGGCCCTTGACTTTTCCAAACATTTGGAACTACCTAAAATACCCTTAACCAAATATTAAAACAATTTATTTCATAATAAAAATCTTCTATCTAAGTCCTTAAAAATTAACAAGTAATTTTTCTAAAAATTTGAAAGAATTTAATGAATAATTATAAAATGAAAAAACCCAAATATAAGAGATGATCATATAATATAAAAAAGGTTGTTAAAAATAAAAAAGAAATTAAGTTTGAAAAAGAAATTGATAAGATATGATATCAAGAACAATTATATGCATCACAAGAAATATTAAAGTGTTTCAAAGAAAACTTATTATAAAATTTTGCTAAAGGAATTGTAAGGTCAATAATCATAAAAGATATACAAGATATCATAGATAAATTAGAAAAAAGGAAGAAAAATATCTTAAAATAGGATATACCTTTTAAAACAGACATAAATATGATAACAGATGTTGATATTATAAATTCTCAGACATTATTAGACTTTGAAAAATTATTTAAAAATTTATGAGAAGACCAATAAAAAATAGATTACCACAAGCATACAAAAAATTAGTTTTCAACCTTACCTTAAGATTTTATAGACGCTTAATAACAAATAGATTAACTAAGACAAAAATAAAAGAATTTTTAGAATATTAGATTATTAGATTTTTTATTATTAGATTTTTGTTCGCTCATAGTAACATCCATCCCATTGGTATCAGAGCCAGAGTGATCATGAGAAAATATATAAAAATAAATTACCTAAAAGATATTGAAAATAAAATTAAAGAAAGACCCAAAAGTTTATGATTTTAGAAATTATTGAAACTTATAAAAATAGACTAAGGTATCAGGTAAAATATAGTTCTAATATATAAGGCTATATAGAAGAAGATAATATAGTTGGAACATCTAGTAAAGACATAAAAGAAGTATTAGAAATTTTTAGAGTAATTAAAAATCTACCTTTAAAACTAAAAGAGAAAATAATTAAAAAGATATTATTTGAAGAATATAAGCATATATATATATATATATATATATATANTATTATCAAAGTATTTGAAAATGAATTATACCGTAGAGAAATATTTGAATCATCATAAAAATATAATGGAAGAAACTAAAAATATTTTAGAAAGAAAGTTAAGAAAAATAAGATTAATAAATAATAAAATTTTAGATGAATTATTAATACCTGGAGATATAACTAAAATTCAAGAAAAACAAATATTTAAAATCAAAACAAGAAAGGTATAAAGAAAAAGAAAGATATTATGAAAAACTAAAAGAACTAATAAATATTGAAGTGATAAAACAAAAGTATGACAAAATGATAAGAGATTGTAAAAATGCTGAGTATATAACATTTTATTATTGTCAATCAAAAAATCGATAAAAGAAAATGTCAATCAGTGAACATATGGAAGAATTAAAACATTTAATAAGAACATTAATAAATGATGTACAAGAAATAAGGAATGAAATAAAAGAAGTAAGAAATGATATAATATATTGAAACTTGAAGTAGGAAAATTAAAAGAAAATGAAGAAAAGAATAATAGAATAGATAAAAAATTTATGGAAAAAGAAATAATCAGAATAGGGAAAAAAACATATTGAAAGGAAAAATATAATAATAGAAACAGGAAGCATATATGATGAGTTTAGAAAAAATATATTACCTAAAATAATAGAAGAAGAGGAATCTAGAGAAAAAATGTTAAGTAAACAAAAAATTGAAGAAAATCAAAACAAAGAAAATGAATGAAAAATTAGATTTACTTATAGATAATTTTGATCATTTAAACTTAAAAAGTATAGATGATGAATACCAAATCTTAATGAATACTGGAGGAGGACCTAATCCCCTAGGAACCTCTAAACAAGAATCAATAGATACAGATGAAAGTTATGCTCCGATGTATAATAAACCATATAGACAATTTTATGATAAAATAAGAGATAAACAACTGTACAAAGGAAATAAATATAGTAATAGATTTGAATTAAATAATAATTATGATAAACCCATCTTGTAGGTTTTTCCATATCTTCACAACATAT